TATATATATATATATATATATATATATATATATATATATATATATATATATATATATATATACGCACACACACTTTTTGAAGACAAGAGTTATTGACCCATTTATCCACAAGAGGGAGTATACCTTTAGGTGGGCATCACCTGTTTATCAGGAGTAAACAAATGCAGCTCACATTCACTAGGCTTTGGAGCACTTTTTAATATCACCCCAGGTATACAAAGTTTTTTGAAACAGTATTTTTTTCCCCCAACTTACATAAATCCATAGTGAAATGTAATTTGTTTGCGTAGCTGTTTTTTTTACACAATTCTAGTCTGCTGGTGTAGTTGCCAGATACTACAGCACTGCCTCCTTATGTTGCAGTAATGTAGTGAATATAACCTTTTGCCATACAGGGTTTTTTAATTGTATTTTTCTAATTTAACTTTTTTTCATAAAGCTCCAACTAAATCTAATTGTTTGTTTGTTTGTTTGACTCTTAATTATTCGATTGTGTAGTATTTGAATGTGATTTATATGTTATAGCCTACACAATTGATATTCCCTTTTGTAAAATGATCTATTAAATTATACCATACTAATTACTATTTCAAAATTGCAAAGGGTTGATCAACCGCTGGAGGACAGCAAAACGACCCGGTCCCAAAATGCATAGAAACGTCTAAACTGAAAATCAACGAAGAAGAAGGAGAACCCGCCTTTCCGGTTACGTCTATGCCAATCACGTGTCCACATCCGGAAGCAGCTCACCGTACTGTAGTGTGGTTCCGAAAGCAGCTAGTTAGCCGCTACAGTGTCAGAAAGCTAAAAACAAAACCCCTTGTTTTTATTAAGTTACACAGTTTCCTGTCCTGAACGTCACCCGGTCAACTAGCTCACACCGCAGGCACAAACGCTACCATGGTTGGTGTAAAAGTGATCGCTAGCGACCCGGACTTCCAACCGGAGCTAGCGGCCGCCGGCTCCAGGCTCGCCGTAGTGAAGTTTACAATGGCCGGGTAAGCTCGCCGACCCGGATCCGAGGCCCAGCAGCGCGTTAGTGTGTCCCTTCAACGTGAGGCCCAACATACATTCACGGGTCGTCGTTCAGCTGTCTGCTGGAGCTCGATACCCCCGTTATCTGATCGTTGCAGCTCTGTATAGCCAGTAACGAAAGGTTAGCATGCTATCTTTAGCTGCTCTTAGCTCTGTGGCTTACAATGACATTGCAGTATTATAGTAGCTTGCTTCCCGAGACTTAACGATGGAAAACATCAACAGTACCACCGATGTCCATGTGGAACCTTTCAATATTTCCCGTCACTGTAACATAAGGCTTGTTTTATAACTTTAATCGTTCTTAGTACAAAGAGCAGCGTTACCTTCGTTGGAGTAGCCGTCGTTAAATGAGTTTCAATGACAGTTCTAATCTATTTACAGCTTGTAATATGTAATAATGTGTATAACGTTAATGAAAATGAAATACATTCTCAGATTAATACGATAAATAGGTGACGGTAAACAACATTGTAACACAAAAAAGGTGTAAATGACTGTACATGAACAGTCCCTTGATGCACTGTAAATCATGGCCGCACTACCTTATTCAGTCACTGTGATGTACAGCGTTCCTTCGGCTCCTTTAATAACAATTTCATTTATTTATTGCTAACATGTCCTTTGTTCCTCTCCAGGTGTCGTCCCTGCGTCAGAATATCTCCAGCCTTCAACGCGTTGAGTAACAAGTACCCACAGGTCGTCTTCCTTGAAGTAGATGTTCATGTCTGTCAGGTGAGTCCACCGTGTCATCGACGAAGAAGATTTTAAATACCCAAACTGAAACATGATAGCAGGATCAGATCAATGTAGGTTTTGTTCACATTAACCAAAAACTCTTCACAGCAAGTTGTTACTCCACCAAGATATTAACACACATTACGATCTCTGTGAAGCCGTGAACCAAAATATCTTGAATTCCTTGTACAGCTCGATGTTTTAGACTGAGGCAAAGCAGCAGAAATCTAAAATAGACACCACAGAAATGCTGCACGCTGAAAAAAATACAACCATTAAAGCCGAGCAAAGTTTTACGTCCTCGCTTCTTCTCTCTTTCTCAGGGAACAGCGGCCGCCAACAACATCTCAGCCACGCCGACGTTCTTGTTCTTCAGGAACCGGGTCCGGGTGGACCAGTATCAGGGGGCAGACTCCGCGGGTCTGGAGGAGAAGATCAAACAGCACACAGAGAACGACCCGGGAAACAGCGAGGACTCGGACATTCCAAAGGGATACGTGAGTGCAGAGCGAATATTTAGTCTTAGAAGTCAGTCATTTATCAAAGTAGTCCCAAATACTCCCATGTATTTATAGAGGGTAGGAAGGGACGTCTGAAGCAAAAGACACAGTGGATGTGCAACGCTGGAAACCGAACACAGGCGTGAGCAGAATTGTTGCGAGTCAGCCATGTGCAAACGGCGGTCTCCTTGGGTTTGTTTGCAGATGGACCTCATGCCTTTCGTCAACAAAGCCGGCTGCGAGTGCCTCAACGAGAGCGACGAATGCGGCTTCGATAACTGCCTAACGAAGGACTCCTCCTACATGGAGTCCGACTGTGACGAGCAGGTACGAGCTCGCCGCGCTGCTTGAATCTTTCCGTATCTCAAGAATTGTCAGTGTTTCCACAAGTCCGCCATTCTTTTTTTGGTCTAAAAGACTCGTACCTTTGCCGTGCATCATACCCAAACACTTTGCTTCAGACCGTCTGCTGTTCGTTGTTAATAGTTTAACTGGGAGGCCGTCCTTTAATCCGCTCTAGTTGCTGATAACTATGGCCTTCAACCAGCCTGTGAAGCTGTACTCCATGAAGCTCCTGTCCTCAGACTTTGGTGAGTTTTTATCACTGCTCTCTACTTCCGGTTCTTAAACTCCCGTCTGCAGGTGGTTAAGATACTTCTGTTCCTCGGTAGCTAACCTCCTGTCCTTCGCTCCCTCCTCTTGTTCTGGTTTTACTCTCAGCTCAAGCCCCCAAGGAGGTGAAGGTGTTCATCAACCTGCCCCGGTCGATGGGCTTCGACGATGCCGAGCGGAGCGAAGCCACTCAGAGTCTGGAGCTGTCTGAGGACGACTACAAAGAAGACGGCTTGATCCCGCTGCGCTACGTCAAGTTTCAGAACGTACAGAGCGTCACGGTGAGGGGCGGAGACTGAGCGGCGGTTAAGCTAGAGACAAGGAGCTTTGGTCCCTCCCTGCTTAGGAAGCTTCCTAACTGAGTGAATGACCCGGAAGTAGCGTAAGTGATGAGAGCTTCTCGGAGGGATTCTCTAATGCAAAAATCTCTAAGGAGATAATTCATTCAGCGCCACAATTCCTGGCGGAGGCAATTTTTCAGTTTCACTGCTGCTGACTGGCGTCACCAACATGCGTCTCCCGTCGCATCAGAACTACGTCGCTTAGTGAAACGCAGCGGTTGTCTATTCCTGAATCCTCACGAATTCTCCGAACCATCTTTCCGTGACCACAGAGGTCAAGGAAAAGACGTTAGGAGGTCATTCGAATCCAGCCCAGATTGACCGGCTGATGCATTTCAAAAGGGCGACACGTTTCTGTCTGTGTTTGCGGTCACCATGTAAACCATATCAGAAGTCATCATTTTTACGACGCATCAGGGGAATAGTTTCCGATTTGAGGTGGAAAGTTCTTATCCTGAGCGATTCCTGTGTGTATTGACGCCCTTTGTCTTCTTGTGACATTTTTTCATGCTAGTTGTTCATCAAGTCAAACCAAGGAGACGAGGAGACAACAAAAATCAACTACCTGACGTTCATTGGCACTCCAGTACAGGCCACCAACATGAGCGACTTCAAGAGGGTACGGACCGGTTCCAGCGGGCGCGTCCCGTCGAAGCGTGAGCGCCTTGTACTCACTCAACCGTCCTCTCATTCTGTCGCCATACAGGTTGTGGGAAAGAAAGGAGAGAGTCACTGAGCAGGAGGACGCTGAGAAGGCCAATAGGAGGCTACGGATACATCCAAGGACTTTCCCTCTGCCAAAGCTGCCACACACACACACACAGCCTCCAGCTGACTGCTCAAGCCCTCGAGGAAATTCTCCATCTGAGGAGTCTACAAGTTTGTATTGTAATTCTGATGAAATGACTGTAAATAAAACAATCCTTTTTCAAAGGCATGTGAGTTGCGTGTGCTTTTCTACTACTTCTACTAGAGGAGGAATGAAGCATGGAAGTTGTTATATACACATTTCCTTGTGTGTGTGCGTGTATATTATATATAAGATGTCCCAGGAGAGCAGATGACTGGATGTAGAGCTCTTAGGGAATGGAAGCCCTGCTTCAGTGTCGCTCCCTCCTGCTCACATGGACTCATCTCTTCGGCATTTAGTTTTGGTACATTATTTATATATATATATATATATATATATGTGTATGTATATATATATATATATATATATGTATGTGTGTGTATATGTTTTTTATCACCTCAAATGTTACAGTAATAAGTGAAAATGAGGTATAAACGGAAAAGATAACTAACTTTGGCGTCATTATTAGGTTATTCAACTGTTAATGTAATAGAATATATATATTTGTGTATACATATAGTTTATGTATTATATGTATATTTTATATGTTGTATATGTATATAAATGTTCATAAGAACTCAGTTCATTTTATCGTGTATTCATGAGCACAAAGGTCTTTCATCAGGGTAATATTTCCAAGCTGCTTAGCTGTTCCTGTGTAACAGTAGAAAAGGACATATTTCCTTTACGTCGTCCATCTGCTTGGTTGAAGCAGGTTTTACTTGTTTGTTTTCTTCCATGCGCTCTCAAACCATCCTGGTTATGTCAGGTAAATCAAATATCTAACCACTTTCCACTGTTGTGGAGACAGGAAACATTTCATGTATTTTTTCTTGTCAAGGTCAATGATACTGAAAGATAAAGACGTTTTAAAAGCTTCCAACTAACCACGCCCACCGACTGCGTCCGGCTGCCTCACGGCTCCTCCCCCTTTTCACCTCCTGAGAGGTGAAAATGGCGCAGCAAGGAATCCAGCTGGACCAGGAAAAGCTCTGCTGTGCCGTCTGTCTGGATGTACTGAAGGAACCAGTGACTCTTCCCTGTGGACACAGCTACTGTATGAGCTGTATCGAAAACATATGGGGCCACGGAGACCAGAAGGAAACCCACAGCTGTCCTCAGTGCAGACAGACCTTTGGACCGAGGCCTTCCCTCGTGAAAAACACCATGCTGACGGATTTAGTGGAGGAACTGAAGAAGAAGGGTCTCGCAGCTGCTGCAGCTGATGCCTGCTATGCCGCACTAGAAGATGTGGCCTGTGATTTCTGCACTGGGAGGAAACTGAAAGCTCTCAAGTCCTGTCTGCAGTGCCTGGTGTCCTACTGTGAGCACCACCTCCAGCCTCACTATCAGGTTGACCAATTTAAGAAACACGTGCTGGTTGACCCCTCCGGGAAGCTTCAGGAGAACATCTGCACTCGTCACAACGAGGTGCTGAAGATATTCTGCCGCACTGATCAACAGTGTGTTTGCATTCTGTGCTCCATGGACGAACACAAAGGCCACGACACGGTCTCCGCCGCGGCGGAAATGGCCGAGAGGCAGAAGGAGCTCGGGGAGACTCGCCAGAGGATCCAGCAGAGAATCCAGCGCGGTGAGCGAGACAAGAAGGTGCTTCAGCAGGAGGTGGAGGCTATCAATCGCTGCGCCGATGAAGCCGTGAGGGACAGCGAGAAGATCTTCACGGACGCGAGGCAGCAGATCAGATCCCGTCAGAAATCGGAAGTGAGTGACGTCAATGCGCTTCAGGGGCGGCTGCGGCAGGAGATCTCGGACCTGCGCGGCAAAGACGCCGAGCTGGAGCTGCTGTCCCGCACGGGGGACCACACCCGGTTCCTGCAAAGCTACGCCTCGCTCAAGAGCCTCGGCGAGGCTAAAGAGTCCCCCGGTGCCGGCATCCGTTTCCAGCGGTATGGCGAGGAGGTGGCCGCGGCGGTATCGGAGGTCAGAGGTCAACTACAGGACCTCCTCAGTGAGGAACGGAGCAGCATCTCGCTGGAAGGGACTGAGGAGGTTTTACGGCCACAAGCAGAGCCAGAGACTAGAGCAGATTTCCTCAAATACTCATCTACACTTCAACTGGATCCAAGTTCTGCACATAGATGTGTAAGAGTTAATAGTAGGCAAGAGGCGCAGTTCTATTATCACAATTGTTACTGCAGTCCACACCCAGACAGATTCACCGACTGGCACCAGGTGTTGTGTAGAGAAGGCCTGACTGGACGATGCTACTGGGAGGTGGAGTGCGTGAATTTGGCTGGAGGAGACATTTTTGTTGCAGTCGCTTACAAGAGCATGAACAGGTCAGGGGTTCAGAGTGCATTTGGAAGCGACAACTCGTCCTGGGCACTGCAATGCTTCCACAGCGGTTATGAATTTAGACACAACAACGTCAGAACCTCCATCCCAGGCCCTCTGACCTCCACAGTAGGAGTGTACCTGGACCACAGTGCAGGAACTCTGTCCTTCTACAGTGTCTCTGAGACCATGAGGCTCCTCCACAGAGTCCAGACCACATTCACTCAGCCGCTCTGCCCTGGACTTGGTGTGCATGAGACTGGAGGCTCTGTTAAAATCTCGTGAAGATTCCTAATGTAGCGTTTGTTTGCTTTCCTCCCACAAAGTTGTTGCTTCTCATAATGACCAGCAAGTTTTGTAGTAATTCATAGGAAAGATGTGTATACAAAGTAAACAATTACAAACTTGAAATGTACATTTCTAAAATAAAAGTAATAACAATTGTGTGCGGGTTAGCGCTAAAAGAAGTTTGTGGTTTAAAATTTATATTTTTATTTTTACATGGAACATGTGATATTGTCATTTGGACTTATCTTCAAAACATGTATCTGTTTATTGAGTCTCTTTAGTCTGTCTGTATTTTTCCTGTAATATTCCAGCTCTGTTGAGGCCTTGAGGCCCTTCTTCACAACATTTTAATAAATCAAACACAAATAAACCTTTGACTCAGTGTTTAACCCCATCACTTCCCAAGTATCATAAAATTGGCTGAAATAAAGAAATTTCACATCATATAAATACATTATCAGTTCTCCTTAGGTAGCGTTGCTCAGTGATTTAATTTTTTTTTTTTTTACCAAAAAGCTGATTTGTTCTACACAATTACCTTGTTCATGCACATTTGGAACATTTGGTATTTCGTATGTTCTCATCAGAGGCGCATGTCTGTGGACGTAAACTGGTAAACGTTAAGTGACAATGAAGACAACCAATCGCGTTTGCTGTTTAGGACGTGACGTTGTGATGTTCACCAATCAGCGCTGTCGAACGAGTGACGCGTCCAAACGGCACCGAGCCGATGAAGCTGACGCAAGTTGCATTTCCGCAGCTGAACGGACTCTGTCGGTCGTAGCTTCGTTTCGCTTCCATCTTTTTTTTTCGATACGTAATTATTCATTCCCCCTCACCGGGAAGTCGTAGCACTCACGCTGACATGGCGACGGAGGTAACGAAAGGTGTGGCGAAAGTATCCGTCGGTAAGTTCTAAAGAAACCGCTCACCGGAGCTAGTCAGCTAGCCAGCTAGCCAGCTAGCACCCGAAGACATGTGTGTCCTGCGTATTGCATCATTCGTTAGCAGTTAGCATGCTGGCTAACGCCGACGGATGAAGCGGTAGGTCACCGCTCCGATACGCGGAGGCGTGTTGCACAGTAACCGAGGGCAGGTGAGCGAGGTGACAGCTGGAAGGTGACAGCTGTCAGTCGGGGGGGATTTTGCTTTGGTTGTTTCTGGTCTGAAATAGTCGTTGAAGTCGCCATCTGTCAAATCTGACGTGATTTGGGTTTTCGTTAGTGATGCTGTTGATTTATTTCCGTGTGACTCCACATGCAGGATGGAGATGGCCCGGGACCACCCATAGACGCTTATTTACAGGACTAACACGCTATCAACACATGTGAAGCCAGATGTTAAAGGGTGACGAGCTGGAGCTCAAGCCGGGGACCATAATCAATCACAGCTGTGCCAATTCTAAAATCACGTTCTGATCAAATACCCGGATCGTTATGTGTGCCTTTACTAAACATTTACTAAATAAGGTTAATGTGGCTGCAATAGTAGGCAAAGGCCAACCATATTTCAACTAAAACAGTAAAATCAGCCAATTACACCACGTTAGGGCAGTTTCTAAACTCAGGACATCCAAAATCCAACAAAACAGTATCACTATGACACAGACATGGGTTATTATTATCTAAGTTGTCCTTTTCTATCCAGCTGCAGATGACTCAGCTCTTGAGTTTCACTTTGACCGTTAGGAGGTTTCCTGGAAATGGACCCTTATAGGAAATGGACCCCTATAGGAAATGGACCCATATTGACGTTGCTGTCTCAGCGAACTATGAAGATCTTCTAATATTTTTAGAATTGTCATTATATTGCATGAAAAGCCCAAATCAATGTCTGTCCCTTTAGAGACACCTAAGCTGCCTTGGGCCACAACTAAACTAATCCAAGTCCAACTCTGTAATGATTTCTAGTTATGGTTAAAGTTGGAACCCTGCTAAATCAGCCATAATCATTACGGTTGTTGCGGACTCCGATCCGGCTGTGTCACGGTCACTGGACGGCTCTGCCGGTGTCTGATGATATGAAAGTTTTCTGAGGTGTAAAATGGAAAGCAGCCCGTGTGATCCAATGGCAGCGGAGAGGCTGAGCCGGGAGGAGTGTGCGTCTGACTCTGCCTCTGCTTCCCAGGCGAGCTCTATGTGTCGGACAAATGTGGCAGCGACCCGGACGGGGACGGCACCGCGCAGAAACCCTTCAAAACCCCCCTCAAGGTACGCGCCTCGAAATCCACCCGCTGCTTTGCTTCAGCGGTTTTCAGAGCCGTGTTGTTGTTGTTGCTGTTGCTGTCAGCGTCTCAATGTGTTTCCGTACAAATCTTCACAGGCTCTGTTGTTCGCTGGAAGCGAGCCGTTCCCGACCATCTACGTGGAATCTCAGAAGGAGGGAGAGGTCGGTGTAAATGTATTTTCTTAAACACTGACAGTGCTTCAAATGTTGCTTTTTATTCATTTTCCCTATAAGCGTTTCCTCTCTTTGTCTTCGTCAGCGCTGGGCGGTGATCTCGAAGACGCAGATGAAGAACGCAAAGAAAGCCTTTAACCGAGAGCAGGCCAAGACCGATGGCAAGGAAAAGAAGGAGGTTTTGTACCTTTACTTCACTTAAACGCGATGCTGTGTGTGTCCCTGTCAACATAGCTGAGCTGTAATAAATGTCCCTCCAATCAGAAAGCAGATGTGAGGTCTTTAAAATGTTTGCTCCGTTTGGCAGGCGGAGGACACCGAGAGGAGAGAGAAGAACCTAGAAGAAGCCAAGAAGATCCACATTGAGAAGGACACCAGCCTGCCTGAGCCTGATACGGTCAGCGATACTCTTCCCACGGTTCTATTCTGTAACGCTTATTGGATGCCAGCGCAAGTAACATGTTTGTCTTTAAGTCCACACATAAAGCATTAGCATTAGCATTAGGTCAGATCATACCACAAGCCCCAGCCCCGAGGGAGCTGTGGCTTTCATCATGTTCCCATTAAAATGCTAACATTATTACTGAATATTAGGGTTAGTCCCTAAGTTATTTGTGTTATTGTTCAGCTAGTGAGGAGACCCTGGTCGGATGCTTCCTGAGAGGTGGTTCCTCCGAGGTGCTGTGGTTCTGCCTCTTTACGTAGCGCTGCTTTTTCTGCAGACGGGCTCTGCTCATTCACAGGTTCTCCTTCAACGTGTCCCATTTTAGCAGCTAACTTGGTTACTGTGTATCTGTGATATATGACCTTGTCCCTAGAAACCACCAGGACAACACATTGGGGGTTCTCTCACACTTGGATAGATATTGAAAGTGCAAAGAAATAAGGGTAGACAATGGTTCTAAAACACCAATAACAAAAACTTCATCCGGAAATGTCTGAGCAAAGAATAATTAAATAAGATAACAAATCTGACCTGATGTTCAGTAGCAGCTGTCACCGCTTCAGTTGATAACGACCAGTGAGCTGAAGATGAGCGTGGACTGTTTTGCAGGTTAAAATCCATCATCTGGAGGCCAGAAGAGGCCAGAGGGTCAAAGTGTTGGGATGGGTCCATCGCCTCAGGAGACAAGGTACATGGAGACTGCCTCTGGCCTCAAACCCTCGCCATTGATGGCTTTATTCTGTTTGCTTATCTCTGCTGATGTTCTCTTTTAAACAACCTTCCATATTCAACGAGCAACGGTTCTGTGAGAATGCGCATTATAAAGTTATGTCTTCACATGTAGTTTGTTAGAAACTTTAATAAATGGGGGTTGCTGTACAGAGACGTTTTCACAACAATATTAGATACAAATATCATGTGGAGCTTTTCTAGTCTTCTGAGCGCTCAGCACTTGGTCCCATGCGGACATATTCAGAAGCTGTTAAGAGGAGCACCACGGCTCACCCAAGACCGTAACGTTAATAAAAGCCTCACGTTTCTTACCTTTCACAATAAAAGCCCTAGACGTACTCACTAACCTTTCTCCAGAGGAACCTGAATTTGAAAAGGCCTTTGAATGTGTGTCTCCTTCAGGGAAGAACCTGATGTTCATCGTGCTGAGAGATGGAAGTGGCTTCCTGCAGTGCGTCCTGTCTGATAAACTGGTACAGCTTCACAACTCTTCATATGTGTTACATCACGACCGCAGAGATAAAAGGAACGTTTGAATGATACAAAGATCTATTTCGTTAATTCATGAAGTCACAAACAGAACTTGTGTCTGGTCACAAGTTTTAGTGACTATGAAACACGATCATTCCAGAAGCTTTAAAACCTACCAATGTTTCCGTCAATAAGGCCAAATACATCTTCATCAGTGTGCACAAAACCAACGCACCGTATTTGGGGCAGATTGCACTTGATTGGACTCCAGTGTCAGACATCTTCATCTCGTCTTGTCTGTCTGCAGTGCCAGTGCTACAACGGCTTGGTGTTGTCCACAGAGAGCACCGTGGCTCTGTACGGGACCGTCACTCCGGTTCCTGAGGGCAAACAGGTGAACAAACCCGCACTCACATGGGCCACCTGTTGTATTTTATACCACTTCATTGTTTTCCTTTGGTATTAAAAAAATAACGAGTGAAACAATAGAAAATGATTCTTCAAAATAATAATTGAAATCATCATCAGTTGCCAACCACAACAGGAGATGGACGTGGGTCCCTTTCTGCTGAGATCCAACATCTTGTTTTCCGGTCTTTTTATTGTGGAGAAAAGTGTGAATTGCCACTAGGACGAGTCCTAGTCACCTGATCAGTGAGCTCTTGTCCTCGTCTTCTAGGCGCCGGGAGGCCACGAGCTGCACTGTGACTTCTGGGAGCTGATCGGCTTGGCTCCGGCAGGCGGCGCCGACAACCTGCTGAACGAGGAGTCTGACGTGGACGTCCAGCTGAACAACCGACACATGCTGATCCGAGGAGAGAACGTCTCCAAGGTCCTCCGGGTCCGATCCGCCGTCACGCAGTGCTTCAGGGAGCACTTCTTCAGCCGCGGATACTGCGAGGTGACGCAGCGCCGCCAGGAGCTAAACCCTGGCTTTATCCAGTCAGGGCTGAGATGATCATGAATACTGTCACACTACACTTTTAACCGCGGTGTCGGTTTCCTCCTCTGCTCGCACTAATGGAGTCTTTCCCGGCTGTAGATCACTCCTCCCACCCTGGTGCAGACGCAGGTGGAGGGCGGCTCCACGCTCTTCAACCTCAACTACTTTGGCGAGCAGGCGTTCCTGACGCAGTCCTCTCAGCTCTACCTGGAGACCTGCATCCCCGCTCTGGGAGACACCTTCTGCATCGCCCAGTCGTACCGGGCCGAGCAGTCGCGCACCCGCAGACACCTGTCAGAGTGAGCACGGACCCGCTGCTACTACACGTGTTCAAATGGGTCACTGCCACCACAGCCACGGATCCTGAGTGGCCTCCGCTGTGTTGATTGGCTGATTTGTCGTCCGTGTCCAGGTACACTCACATCGAGGCCGAGTGTCCCTTCATGACGTTTGAGGACCTGCTGACCCGACTGGAGGAGCTGGTGTGTGACGTGGTGGACCGGGTGCTCAAATCTCCCGCCGCACAGCTGCTCTACGACATCAACCCCGTACGTGCCCCTTTTCTAAATACGCCTCCGTCAGAGCGGAGGAGGAGCCACACACCTGGTTTCTGATGGGGGAACGTTAGTCGGGGGAGGAGCTTCCTCTGGATGCTTTAGCTGTTGATCAAACGCCCCTCAGACGCAAGGTGTGGTCAACGTTTAGTATTTCTCCCCCTCCAGAACTTCAAACCCCCCAAGAGGCCGTTCAAGCGGATGAACTACACCGAAGCCATCGAGTGGCTCCGAGAGCACGACATCAAGAAGGACGACGGCACCTTCTACGAGTTTGGAGAGGTGACGACTGCGCACACGCACACACACACACACACACACACACACACACACACACACACACACCATAAGCAATATATTAACTTATCGCACAAAAGGAAAAATGACTGTGATCATTTTTGTTGTTGCGATGATCGTTCTCCATATAAATGAACGTCACCAACGTTTTAGTCGATGGCGCTTTCCTCTCGTCTGCTTCCATTGTGAGGGGCGGGGCTTAGGCAGCGCCGTCTCACGCGCACAGCGGACCGAGATCAGGATAAACTAGTTTAAATGGACTTTGTTACGAAGCCGCAATCTTCAGTTGTGGGAACCTTTTGGCTTTAAGCCGAATGAGGGAAGAGAGCCGATAACGTGAACGAGCCGGTCCGTCGACTTGGTTGAAAAACACTGGCCGCCGTGGTCGAGGCGCCGCGTTAAACCTCCCCGGCTACCGCAGCGCACTCTTCCTCTGGACACATTTTCTCAAACCTACCGGATCGCACCGAACTCCATACTCCGTGTCCCTCGCACTTATTAGAATCTGAATGTGAAGATAAATGTCTAAATATTGTGGCCAATAAAGCGTTCTTTGTCCTCTGAAGGAGCGTACTTGCATCACTATGCTATTGTACTGTCATTTCAGTTATCAGTGGCATGAAGTGGTTGGAAAACTGCAATAATATCGTTGGATCCCACTCCTTCCATAATGTAACTCCACCTTTAGTCAGACCCTGGAGCCACAGGAGGCGTGTGGTGATCTTCATGACCAGGAAACTGCACCTAATGTGTAGGATCGGTGGAGTGACTCTTTAATGTTGTTGTTGTTGTTGTTGTGGTTCTTGTAGAATAAGAGCTTCTAGTTAACGTTCTGTTGCACGTCCGTAACAAAGCTGCCGTTTCCACACCAGCCTGTAGGGGGCGTGGCCTACTGTCAGCTGGAGCTCCAATAGATTAATAGTCAGAAACACTGCCGGTTTTCCCATTTACGAAGCATGTAGGAGTCTGTAATGGTATCGTAGTCAGAAATCACATAATACTTATTGACAAGTATTTGATGCATCAGAGAAGCCAAACTTATATTTGGTACAGAAACCTTTGTTTGCAATTAGACATAATACGTTTCCTGTAGTTCTTGTAGGATTTTGGCCCACTCCTCCATACAGACCTTCTCCACATCCTTCTGGTTTCGGGGCTGTTGCTGGGCAACATTCGGCTCCCTCCAAAGATTCTCCATTGGGTTCTGGTCTGGAGACGGGCTCGGCCTCCCCCGGACCTTGATGCTTCTGACAGAGCCACTCCTTAGTTGCCCTGGCTGTGTTTCATCTTCAATGAGCTCACTGAGGGAAGGAGGTTGGTGGCCAAGATCTGGCGATACATCCATCCTCAATACGGTGCAGTCGGCCTGTCCCCTCTGCAGAAAGGCCTCCGCAAAGAAGGATGTCTCCACCTCCATGCGTCCCGGTCGGGATGGTGTTCTTGGGGTTGATCTTGCAGACTGAGGGAGATTGACCTTCCTCCATTTTCTAATAATTAATAACAGTTGCCTTCTCACCGCGCTGCTCGCCTGATGTCCAGACGCAGCTCTCTGGTCTCGGCCGTTGTGGAGAGGTTGGAGTCTGTCTGATTGAGCGTGTGGACAGGTGTCTTTTATACAGGTAACGAGTTCAAACAGGTGCAGTTAATACAGGTAATGAGTGGAGAAGAGGAGGGCTTCCTACAGACAGGTGGTCTTACTGGTTGGTGGGTGATCACATACTTCATACGTCATGCAATAAACTGCAATCAAACATACATGTGATTTTCTGGTTGAAGAGTAACTGATAAGAATGAGTCTCCTACATGCTTTGTAAGTGGGGAAACCTGCAAAATCTGCAGCTTATCAAATACTCCGTACTGTAAGTTGAAAACCACCTCGCTTTCCATTCGCTTTACCTGAAAAGATTCAGACGCTTTCTAAACAGCATTAAAACCCCACGTGTAGTGGATGAGTGGTGGAGAAGCCTCTGTGTCCTTCGGGCGGTGACGTCTGTGCTGTTGTTTTGAATCTCCTGCTCTCAGGACATCCCCGAGGGTCCAGAGAGGCTGATGACCGACGCCATCAACGAGACCATCCTGCTCTGCCGCTTCCCAGTCGAGATCAAATCCTTCTACATGCAGCGCTGTCCGGAGGACCGGCGCCTCACCGAGTCGGTACGGACCTCAGGGCGCCCCAGCCGGCTACCATCAGGGGGGACATGGGGGCTAAGATGGGAACTGTCCACCTAAACCTGCTTTATTGAGTGCAGGACGCCCTTTCTGACGTGTGTGTGTCGCGTGTTGTATGTGTGTGTGTGTCTCGCGTGTCGCGTAGGTGGATGTGTTGATGCCAAATGTTGGCGAGATCCTCGGGGGTTCGATGCGTATCTGGGACGCTGAGGAGCTGCTGGAGGGCTACAAGAGGGAGGAGATCGACCCGACCCCGTACTACTGGTACACCGACCAGGTAACGCGAGGACCACCATCCACGCGCCCCCCCAACGCCGCGCAGTGTGATCCATGTGTCACCACTGCGCCGCCGCCGCGCTGGCTGGTCGCTTCCTGCCAATGGTCCCTTGATTGTGTTCCAGACGTCAGACACCTTGCTTTCCAAATGAAAACAAGTTTGAAACCAGTAATATGTAGTAATATGTACAATATTTCACATATGAAAGATATGTATTCTAATGATAGTACTAATGTTACCAGTAGTCTAGCTGTATGTTCCCCTTACAAGCATATACACACACACACACACACACATTGCCACGTGCATATTACATATCTATTCCTACCTGTATACATTTCACACATGTAGGCAAAAAGGACTTGATAAACATAAGTACAAAAGTTGAAATAAATACATTTATTTATCTATTTTCACAAGCACTTCCTCCACTGCTGCCTCATAGAGCCGTGAGTCCGTGCCTGGCGTGTTGGAATATTCCTACAAGAACCAGCTGTACCGTGTGTAACGACCCGTGTGTGTGTTTCTTCCAGAGGAAGTACGGCACGTGTCCTCACGGCGGCTACGGTCTGGGCCTGGAGCGGTTCCTCACCTGGCTGCTGAACAGACATCACATCAGAGACGTCTGCCTGTACCCACGCTTCATCCAGCGCTGCCGGCCCTGAGCGCGCGCGCACACACACACACACGCACACACACACTTTCTGTTGGTGCATCTGCATCTTGGCATGTGGCCATCAAACGTGTCGCTACAACTTTGAATCAAATCTAAAGGATACTGTGTTCTTTTTTTCCCCAATAACCCTCGTTGTGTTGAGTTCCGATGGTGACGTCTCGCCGCGGGCCGTCCGCTCCGCCTGCGGGTCTCTGCCTTTACAGCTTCTTCCTCGTTGGTTCTGACTGGAAACCTGAATGCGATGAGCTTTGCCTCTGCTGGGTTTAGATAACCGTCGTAGTCTCCTGTGGTTGTTGAGTATAAACTCTTCTCCTGTGAGTGAGATCTGTTCTCATAGTTCCCCTCTGAGACCTTTCTGGTCGTAGAAAGAATTCGGACTCCATCGCCGCGCGTCGTCGCATCAGACTTCTAACACAACGCTAGTCACAGGCAGCGAGGAAGAGGTCTGTGTGGTTCAGAGACGTGACCTCGGGGCTCCATGTTCGTGTTTCAGATAAACCTCGGCTCAATGCTGTGCTCCAATAAATGTGATTCCAACAGATGGTGGTGTGAGGGCTTCCTGTGATGTGCTCAGAGCCGATCACTGATTGGATGTTAATATGTATGTATTTATATATCGATATAAATGTGCATTACAAACTGAATAACATGAAGGAAAAAAAGTTTCACACCAAGACATGCCATGTAAACGATGGCGTAAGTCCTAGTTACTGTAACAAATGTATAGAATGAATATTTAAATATAAAGCTGGTTTGGAGGATAGAAGTAAACTTCAGGACTCGTGGGATCAAACAAGAGTTGGGTTCATGTGAGTAACTCAGATCTCCACAAAGCTGTTTGTTCTTAAACCACGATGCTTCGAGCTGATAAACTATCTGAACACACGCAGAGTGGGTGGGACCGGCCTGAAGAGGGGCGTGGTTTTATAAGGTACACAAACGTGGATGTGACGTCATACTAAAATAAGTGCCCTGCGTCCAGAAAACTACACTAAGCTACCACAATAAAGGTTTAAAGTATATACAAATACAATTATTCATAAAACGTATTGTAAACAACGTGCAACACTACGTACAAGCCATGGCTTTCAACTTCATCTCAATTTCTTTATGTTTGTCAATTTAAACTGAAAATAAAATTAGACACCATTGGCATTGATAAAAAGAAAATTGATGACTTAACATTACTAGAAGAAAGTAAGTGATTAACATCTGAATAAATTAAGCCATAAACCTCTGGATTTCGCACAAATCGAAGTCTCCCCTGAGCTGTTGCATCATCTCAGATTAGTCGTCGGTGGCTTTTATTTTGAAGTTAAAACCCGGAAGAGTCGAAGCCACCGTTGACTAAACTTGACAGTGTTCGTGCAGCCGGTGGCGGCCGAAGCAGTGTGGGCGTCACGTTGGTGTGACCGGCGCGTCGCTCACTGAGGGGGAACATTCGTGGAAGCGGCCGCGCTGACAGCACAACTACCCCGCCTCTGCTACAGCGGGAAACGGACGCTACCATGATGGCGGTCCTGGGCAGCGCCGGTCGCTTGATCCAATGTGAGTGTTGCTGTGAGCTTTCCCAGCCTGCCTTCACGTTCTATGAATTATATCGGTAATGTCATCGAGTAAACTGGGTCACTTTGCGTGTTTCAGGCAGTTTTGAGTGATGGAGCGTGAACTCAACACGCTGACATTGGCTAATGGGGCGTTAAGCTAGCGCGGATCTGAGAAGTAACTTCCGTCTAGGACTTTCACAATACAAGCCATGCTGTAAAGTTAATGCGCAATTAGTTGGGTGGTTTGCTCATAAATCGTTCGCACCCATTTATTCTCACCCTCACGAGTCACGTCTTATATACAGTTTCCCGTGTTCGCTGTTGGTCGAGTCGAAATCGTTTTATTGGCTGTAAGTTTGTAAGTTTGTGCTTTTATTTTACAGAGAAATAACGTCGTTTCCGTAGCTAGCTACGCGCTAAGCCCAACATTTCTTAGGTTAGTTTAATGTTCTGTAACGGAATCATCCCGTACCTGTGCTGCGTTTAGTTCAAGCCGATGATCAACACACAGTCCACTTAGTCGTTAACGGCCCGTGAGGAGGAACATTCGAACCGAGTTACACAATTCCAACGTTGTGAACTTGCATAATCGGACTGAGCCGCCTGGTGGTGTTTGCGGGTATTACAGCGGTGGTTATAGAAGGACAGCTGGGCCGAAACACAAAGCCAAGGGATAATATATAACATTCTAGGATTAGTAACGTACTATTTTCAGCACTGTCTTTATAAACGTACTTGCTGGCCATTATTCATATGCAATTCTGGAGGAGATCACTGACTTTCCACAGATCCCAAATGCACCGGGCTGAATCTCGGTATGATATAAATAACATAACCCCCAGTGTGTGTGTGTGTGTGTGTGTGTGTGTGAGAGAGAGTGTGTGAGAACGTCTACTCACCGGGAAAACCATGCATGTGTACGAGTGACCAGTGTCCGTGTTTCCTCCTTGTGCTTCAGTCGCCAGGAGCAGCATCAGTCTGACTGTGAGGAGACGCTCCGCTGCTGCTGCTTTGGCCCAGACGTCCACCCCAGAAACACTGGACAACAGGTGACACGAGGACCGCCGTCCCCAACACGCACGCCAGGCTTCAGAGAGCCCGCACACGACCGCCAGCTGTCAGCTGTCAGTCATTCGTGCTCCTTTTTGTTGCGTATTTGATGCTCTTGTTGCTTCTGAAGTTGTCCCTTGTAAGACCCCTCTGTTTATTATGTGCTCGGTTCCTTGACGCGCTTATGGACTGTTGTGTGTGTATGAACACACTTTACTCGCCTAACGGACACCTGAGGGCCTTGTGAAGTGACCCTGGCTGCAATCATAGATTTTTAGGGTAACCCTAACCCCGAGCCAAACCATAGCAATGACACGGCACCTCGAGGGCCATTTAAGTTTGAAAAAGTGTTGACTCATCATCTATAGCCTTTTCTATACAACCAATAGGATGATTATTGATTATAAATCCCTGGTCCCTGCAGGAAACCTAAGACGGGCATTTTGATGCTCAACATGGGAGGACCTGAGAAACTAGAAGACGTGCACGACTTCCTGCTGCGCTTGTTCTTGGACACGGACCTGATGAAACTCCCAGTACAGAAGTATGCACACACACACACACACACACACACACACACACACACACACACACACACACACACACCATATTGTCGTTATCTGAATAAAAGCAGCTTTTTAATAAACCTGTAGTACTGACACCTGCATGTCTCGTCCAGTTTCATGCTATTGGCTGATTTTAAACACACCCATATATATATATATATATATATATATATATATAAATAGATAATTACACACACAAGCAGAGTGAGGTTGTGAGGTTGTTGCATAATAACTGACTCAGGAACCAACAAAGGGATTTAATTTGCTTCCTGCTGAGAAGAAAAGAAGTGTTTTCCTTCCTTGTTCCTCGACATTCTGCACTCGGCTGAACGAGGACAGAAGATTTGCCTCTAAACTCTACGCTGATGTTAGAGGGACCAAATATCTGAGTGTGTGTTTCCCCTCCGGTTGTAACCAGCAGAACAAATCTGTTGTCTACGTTCATGGTTCCCTTCTGATTAAATCAGAATGACCCTTTGACCTTTCACCAAAGAGCCACCATCAGTTAAAAAAAGGCTCCTTCATACTTTGCTTTTCTCATCGGGCTCGTCTGTACTTTGCCTTCAGTGCTAACTAGCGCATGATGCTAACATGCAGACGTCTTCGTTCCTGTTGAACGAGTACGGCGTGTTGCTACATAAGCTGGACCAATAGTTTATTAGTGTATTAAAGTACGGTAATAACATATATTGGGGCAATTAAGTAGCGTTAGCTTCTTGAGCTAACGTTAGCTTCATATACTGTTCATTTGACAAACTGCACCACAAACCAACTGTTACTCCACACAATGAGCAAACCGCTGCTGAGGTTACTTTACACACAACAAGCGCAGCTAGTTTCCTAATCCTCGCTGTGCTTCCACCCTGCAGTACGCTCGGGCCGCTCATCGCCAAGCGCCGCACGCCAAAGATCCAGGAGCAGTACAGCAAGATCGGAGGGGGCTCGCCCATCAAGCACTGGACCTCCATGCAGGGGGAGGGCATGGTGAAGCTGCTGGACGAGATGAGCCCTGAGACGGGTGAGACGCTCCCGGATACCATCTGCCCTCTGGTTCAGAGGAGGGTCCCGTATAGAAGCCACCAGGGGACGACCAGATAGAGGCTGTTTCCTGCCGCCGGTCAGAAGCCGAAAGGGTGTGAAGTGCAGATAGAGACCAAGTGAGGGTGTCGCTACTCACGCCTGCACACGCCTCTGATAAGCACCAACCGGCAGCAACTAAAGGCCGCCGCGTGTTTCTGCGTCTTTACGCGTCGACGCGCTGGTTTCACTTCCTGGTTGTAAAGTCGTGCG